TCCTGTGGAAACGGTCCTTCAACTCTGCATAAATGCCTCCGATAAAACTCGAGCAAAGCAGTTTGATACTCTGGGCTTTCGATAGGAAATTGGTCGTTAGTTAGGATGGCCCGGACTTCGGCGGGCAACATGGCTCTTAGTTCCTGTGCTACGCCTACGTAGGTCCTCATGTCAGAGGGCGCGTCGCACAAGACTAGTTTTCGCAGTCCAGCAGGTTGGGTGAGGGCGTATTCAGCGGCTAACATGCCTCCCCAGCTGTGACCGAGGAGATCATATGTCGTGATTCCAAGACTGCGGATTAGGTTGTCTAGCTCAGCCATGAAGAGGGCTGGGGTCCAAAAGGATGTGTCGAGGGGTTTGTTGGGGAAGTGGGTGCTTTTTCCGCAGCCGATTTGGTCGTACATGAGGACTGGGATGCCGTAGTCTGTATTGATTAGGGAGATGGGGAGGAGGTAGTCGTGGGGGATTCCTGGACCGCCGTGGAGACAGATTAGGGGAATCTTTTTGGGGGAGAGGTTGCCCCAGATGGAGTAGGAGGTTTCGGCGAGGTCGCTCGAGGAAGGGATGCGGAAGAGAACGGTGCCGGTGCGGGTTGGAGGAGGATAAGGACGGGTTTGGCCTGGGGCTGGGATGATGGTGTCCATTATACAAGAGTGGGTGGGTTTTTATGTGAGTTTGTTGTTGATGTTGGTTTTTGATGATGAGTTTGTGATATTACAATATTTCAGGTCTTTGTTGAAGGGCCAATCGTTGGTTGATATATCTTTGATGCAAGACTTCTTGTTAGCACGTGAATGCCCTTCAAGGAGTCTTATTTGTTATTAATAGACTATTCATCAAACGACGCCACCACTACCTCTAGATGACATTTCATAGAGATTGAATATGCTTCCCTCTAGGTTTAACCCAATCGCCATATGTTGTAATACAATCCCGTTGTCGTACGTCCCTATTCTTATCTAAGGTAAGGGTCTGACATAAGCCATCTGGCAATAGCACCTCGAAGCAAAGACGAATCGGCATCTGTGCATCGTAATGATGACGACCCAGACGAGGCAATTCGTATGCTGCCCCTGACGGATTAACTCTCAATCCGCATACTTTACTCTGTACAAGATACTTTACCAACGCTAGTGACCCCTTTTCATGGTGTCATCCGGAGGAAAAAAGGATTCGGGGATTTTCTTATAACTTTAACCATTATTTTTCGACGTCAGAAAATTCAAGGCAACCGTTTGTTTCAGCTCACGTAAACATATTCTCGATGGCCGATCCGGAAACCTCATCACACCCTTTCCCAGCCCCGGCCCGTTTCCCCCACAATGCTTTCTGTCGCGGGGTCGCATGAAGTAAACATCAAACAAACACCCCATTTTTATCTCGATTCGTAGATCCCCCTTAAGGGAACAACCGTTAAGGTCTCCACTATAATTGGGTGATTGTCTCGCTCATTCGTACACTCATATCAACTGCAACCTCCTGAGATCCTACAATTGGACCCAAATCTTGGCGTTGCGCGCAACAAAGAAATCGCCACTATTTTTTTACGATCTACGACGAAAAGAAGATGCCTGAAAAGGATCGCCGTTGAAAACTGAGATAATGTCATGTCATATTAGATTGCATCAGAACAGAACTCAAGGGAAGGAAAAGAAGAAGCAATCAACGAAGGACCCGACGATACACCTAGATCACGATCACATGCAAGAAAAGAGAAAAAAAAAGAAACAAGCATAGTGAGGTATTCCCTCAACCTAAAAAAAGGTGAAAACAAAGAGAAAAAACCAAAATGATGAGTCCCCTCGACCGGAATCGAGCCGGTGACCTTTCGGTAATCAATAAATTCTTTTACAGCCGAACGTGATAGCCAACTACACCACAAGGGGTTAATTTATTGAAAGTTGTTCTTGGCTTGTTGATTTATGTGGGGAAGAGAGAAAGTTGCATCCTGGAAGCGTTCCCACCAAACAAACCCATCTCGGACTTGAGCTCGCTCTTTTTTTTTTTTTTTTTTTTTTTTAAAAAAAAAAAAAAAAAAAGAAATAAATATGAAAGTCTATTTCTGATTTTCCAAGTCTTAAGAGCATGGTGAAAGAAATATAATATTGAAATTCTGATAAAGATAGAACCGCCTCAAACGCACTGAGCAATGAAGCATCATTGAGTAAATATCAAAATACCAATTATCATCCCATATCTACATCCTCTAGCAAAAAAAAACACTATTTTTTTCCCTACTGCAATTTTAATCCCATCTCATTCTCCTCATCCAAATCCATATCATCCCCCGTAACCAACGCCCAAACAATTTTCTGGTACTCCTCTCAATAAGATCCAATCCATCTTCGAGAAACACAAGGACTCGATCGAAATATACAATTCTCTAACAAGGTCAAACATACCCCAACTACAATACTCATTGAACGGCTCCCCCGCAGAGCATTTTTTCCTGCCTGGGTATTTTTTACCCCTAAAGTACCAAGTTATTACCAAGTCTTTTTCCCAGGATTGAGTTGTGGAATTGTTATTATAGAGGGAGGAATCATTTTTTTTTATCGCTTCGTTATTCGGAAGAAGATTTTTCTATTAGAAAGATGGCATTTTATATGTCGCATTTTCTTTTGTGAGTAAGTGGATGGACTCTGAAAGGGATTGTTACCGTAGAGTTGATGGAACAATTGAGTGTTTCTGGAGTGATATTGGGGTTTTGCAAAAGAGTTGCGCCAGTGAAACTGGAGGTGATGAGTATCTACGCTGTCAAGAGAGTGGTGAAATGCATTTTGATTTTGTTGTAGTGTTTTAAAGATATCGAAGGGTTTTTTTTAATATTTTTATTAGTTTTTTTATTAGTCTAGAGTGGCTGTGTGAAGAAATAGAGACCTGAGCGTTGAGCAGCTCGCGATTGTGATCCAGATACCTTTGATGTGAGCAACATTTGGCATGAAGTTCGTTCAGGGGCTTGATTGCCTTGAAAATCATGTCGAAAGAGCGGAAAATCTTACGGGGGGAGCCTGAGAAGTTGTGCCAGTCATTTGGCTCGGGAAAAGTAGGACCCCATTCAGGTCCGAGTTTGCGTGCTTTGGAGGTTTGCAGCCAGATTTGTCCCTGTTACGAGAGCGTCGCATTTGCGTGCCTCATCTGCATCAGCTGAACTACTGATTTGGCAGCACGTCTCTCTGTTCCTGTTCCTGTTCCCGACGCCCATCAGGGGGTTGAAGGGGTTGAAGTGCCCACTGTTCCCGGTGCCCATCTGGGGGTTGAAGCGCTCTTTGAGTGTTTGCCAGTAAAATTCGAGGGTGCGTTTTATGAGAAATTCCCTGTTGCGTTTAATCTGATCTGAGAAACTGTTAGCTGGTGATTTCCCCTCATGGGGCAACGTGTGTTTTGTACCAATTATACCAGGCGTCCCAAACCGAGGTAGATTGAAGAGTTTGCGAACCATTGCATCAAGAGGCTCTCCGTCTGTTCCCACACGCGAAAGCCGAATGGTCGAGCAACGAATAGAGCGGTTGTACAGATTCGCGGCTCCAAGAGTCCAGACCAGAGAGGTGTACTCCATTAGGTGCTTGTTATCGAGCTTCATTTCTCCCTTCTCGAAAAGGTCGGAGCGCTGTAAAGCTTGCAACCAGTGATTTGAGCAGGGAGCAAGGATATGAATCATCAAATACTTGTCGGCAAGGCAAATAATTTCGTTCAGAAGCAGGATATCATCCAAGGCGGGCTGGACGTTCTGAAGCTGAAGTACCATGTCGAACCTGCAGTGAGCGATAGCCAGTAAATTTTTGAGAATGGCTGGCTCATCTGGAAAATCCACAATCCAATCGTTGCCGTCAACTGGCCGCACCCCTTCTTTCAATGGCCCAAACAGCATCTTTGCCCAAACCGGCGATGACCTCCTCATCGTTGCTGAACATACCCGCAGATCTTCCTGAGCGCTCACGGTCGCGTCTTTTTTGTTTTTATTCTTTGTGTTTTTCTTGTTTTTATCCTCTGGAATGACTAGATCTGCGCCAAAACGTAGAATTAGGTCGCCCTTCTCGTCGAGCGCTGTCAAGACGGGTGAAGTTTGAGATGCCATGGTGTTGTCGAAAGATGTTTATTGAGGAAACGGGAGATTCTTGGAACGAGCCCGACGTGTGAAGGTATTGTTGGATCGAAGCTCCAATATGACGTGATTTGAAATTCGTTTCCAAGAAGGCGTAAGAATGGAGAATCTGTCGGGAGCTGTCGTGGCACGGCTCGTTGGAAATGGGTGTGATGGCATGGTTTTGGTTGCCAGAAAGAAGGAACAAGGTGTTTTATCTGGTTGAATCCACTTGATGAAAAGGTAAATAAGGCCCTTCCGTTCCATGATTCCTTTTCCATTGGTAGGTGGTCTTGATCACCCGGCCACCAAATCTCTGTGATAGAAGAAGGAGCAATACGGAGGTGCCGTTGCCAGGAAACAGCAATCACCAGATTCATCATTCAACAAAAGCCACCGAAATATTCCAAAGGGCAATATTCATACCCAGTATTCCACACAACCTACCAGACTGTATTCTAGGGCCAGGACCCAGAGCCAGTATTGATCTTCGAAGGCCACCTGGATTGAGTAGGAAGCCGTGGAAGAAGCCATTGCATCAACAAGACATGGACAATCGAGCGAAGTGAGCAAAGGCAATGGTCTTGTATTTGTTAGCCCAGATCAAGTGTTTGGGTTACGCATCTGTCCCATTTCTTTCGACGCTGCTCTTCTACCATTGGCTTGACTTTAAAAAAATCACCATCTTTCTGCTGAGTTTGGTCTCTTGATTTTTTTCATCCCATTACAGTACAGGCCGGAGACTCCACTTAGCACTATTATCACAAGGATGGAGCAAACAAAACTCTTCATCCAAATATCATCTCGACTACCACGTAGATTTCAAATCAAAATAGAGAGCAAATGCAAAGAAACTGCAACGGAACTTGCCAAACATAGATGTTGTTTCTTAACCTGGGCTTCAACAACAACAATAGGCAACTTGGCCGAGCGGTCTAAGGCGCCACGTTAAGGAGTATCCTTGATATCAAACCCACTGGGTTCCGTGGTCCGAAAGGGCGTGAGTTCGAATCTCACAGTTGTCATGAAACAATCACACCTGCTCAGTGTGAAATTCTCTCTCTCTCTTTTTTTTTTTTTTTCTTTTTGGCTTTGTTTACACTGCCTGATAAAATTGCTTTTCTTGGAATCTTGGTGGTGATGTAACATCTCATCGTTAAGCCAAATTCTTAGTGGTGCATCTCACCAACGCTTGACTGTTTTCGGCTTGTTTTCGCGCCTGATGTCAGTGCGCACACGGGAAGGGCTGCACAGAAGTTTACGGCTGAGAAACAGCTTCGCTTGTTCGCTTCTTGAAGGTTTCGTCTGTGTGTTGGCATGCGTAGTGTAGTATCATGTCATTGGAGATTCAATGCGGCGGTGCGCAAAAATTAAAAAAAATGTAAAGAAACAGGCGACAATCTTGGTTGAAGTCCACCCCTTACCAACCCCTTGGGGCCTCTCCACCCTCAACAAGGAAAAGTTGCATTTTTAGATCAACTGGAGATCTTTACACGTTTTATAATGCACTTCCCCGGATTGTCTTCTGTTTCTTTTTTCTTTCTTTCTTTTCCTGCTGAAGAAATGTAACCTTGATCCTTGGCGACCTTGACAGATTTTTTCCCTTCAGATGTCTGGCCCTCCTCCAACCGACGGCAACGCCGCCGCCGGCGAGCAGTTCGGCCCGAGCCCCTTCGGCGCTCCAGCACTCCTCCCACACGACGATGCCGGCCCCAAAGTTCTCGCCGTTACGTGGTCCCTCTGGTGCTTTGCGGGGGCGTTCCTGGCCACGAGGATCTACTGCAAACGTGGGAGCGGTCGACGTCTGTGGTGGGATGATCACTTTCTCCTCGCGTCACAGGCCATCCATCTGGTATCGGCCTGCCTCATGACGAAACTGGTAGTCTCCTTTGATTACGGCAAACACCCATGGGACATACCGAACGCCAGTCCGATTCCCACATCAGACAATATACTCGTTCAGATGACGAGGGCGACCTGTATCATTACTGCAACGTCCTGGAGCAAGACAGCCTTTGCAATCACCATGCTGCGCTTTTTTACCGGACGGGCGAGTTGGCTAATCTGGTTCATCATCATCAGCATGAATCTTGCGCTTGGAGTTTGCGCCCTGGTACCTTGGGTTAGCTGTATTCCGTTGCACAAGTCGTGGAATCTTACCATCGAGGGTACTTGCCTCCCGTTCAGCGTACCCTTGATATTGGCCTACGTTTCGGGAGCCTACTCTGCTGCGTGCGATTTGGTATTGGCAATGTTGCCGTGGGCGATTCTTTCCAACCTTTCCATGGGACTCAAGGAGAAATTGGGCGTTGGTGTGGCGATGAGCATGGGAGTTGCGTGAGTATTTATCTTTCCTCGTTATTCCACATGATGAATAGTCTCCTAACAACATCTTTCAGTGCCTGTATCATGGCCATTATCAAGACAGTTTCGTTAAAAAACATCTCGTTCGACTCCAACGAAAACTCAAAGCTCAACATATACGACACGGCAGAAATATCCGTCACCATCATGGCTGCTTCGATTCCAGCCATGCGTGTTCTCTTTAAAGATTTACGCTCGTCGGCACGGGGATCAAGTGGCAGACGCTATTATCAGACTTCAGTTCCTCAGTACGGTGCCAATAGAAGCGGAATCGTCGTTACGGTCAAGGCGGAGGGAGGCGAAAGAGACGATAGTGGGCCGGGCGGAAGGGATGATATGAGCGACAGGAGAATATTGGGATCTGAAACTCGAAGTGGGGATGGAAAGATTTATCGAGTTGATGAGGTTGAAGTGGTCTCGACTTATAGTCACAAAAGAGGGAGGTTGAGTGATGAGGAGGGCGCGTATGAGATGCAGGATACAGGAAGGAAAAATGGGCGAAGAGCTTAGGGGATACATGTCTGGCCAGACGAAGTTGTAATGATAGTTTGATACCCAGTGACAGAAAATGATACAAAACTGTCCTTTCACCTCTGCTCCCTTTACCTGTTAAACATTACCCACCAAACGATCTCTTACTTTTCGGACTCTCTGCCAGCGCCTTTTGCGTCAAAAGACACTGCAACGAATCACATGGCCAAACTCTCAAAAACGAACCCCTGAAACGTGCACCAATACACCTACCTATCTTAGACAAGCCATCTTCGTCAACATGCAGGTGTGTACCAAGTGCATGTGCGCTATTAAAGCATTTTCGTAACTGCATTTACTTCAAAGTCAAACAAGCCACATGTTTCAAGCCTATTTCTACCTATTTTTAACTTGTAGTTAGACGACGTTTCAAATCTCGTCAATGTTATCCATATACCCCTAAGCTCCCACACACCCTTTTACAAACCCTTCATACCAACAATACAAACCTGATCCGGCGTATGATAAACCCCCTCATCAATCTCCCTCATCGCTTCCTCTTCCAACCTCTTCACTCTTTCCTCTGTCCATCCCTCATCTTCACCAATCAACACCCTCAAACACCCCAAAAAGCACTTGATAATATTCCTAGTCCCTTTTTCCCTTATCTCAGTCTCACATAACCTATCCGTAGAAAACACATCCTCATGTACATGAACTAATCCTTTTACCTTTTCTCTCCATAACTTTTCTCTATCTATGCGAGTATTCCCCTCACGAATCATTAATCCAATCACTGGATTCTCTTTAGCCACGCGGAATGGTTCCAGAGCAGAATAAATCTCCTGACAAGCTTTTTAGATGTCCCAGGAATAGAATTATATAGACTGAATTAATTGAATCAATCCATTGGATCCAACCACCTGGTTTTAAGAGAGACACGAGATTTTGAACTGTAGATATCCACTCATTTAAAGGAGTGGAATTGCTGACGAAACGAACTGTGATGAGATCACAAGACCTCTGGCCCCTCACGCATGCTCAGAGGAGTGAAGCGGAGTTCTATGGGGACCAGCCCCCAAACCCCCGGCCTCGCTACGCTCGAATATTATATTATACTTACTTTATATTATACTTACAACCAACCAAACCTATTCCTTTCACAACCTTCTTCAACCAAGCAAGCCTAAAACTTCCACAACCTTCTTCAACCGACCAAGCCTATACCTTCCACAACCTTCTTCAACCAACCAAGCCTATATCTTCCGAGGTCTTGGGGGGTTGTGGAAGTCCCGGGAGATTGTGGGAGATTATGGAAGCTGTGGGAGGTTGTGGTGGTTGTAGTGGAAGTCCCGGGAGGTTGTGGAAGTCCTGGGTGGTTGTGGTGGTTGTATTGGAAGTCCCGGGAGGTTATAGGAGGTCGTAGGAGGTCGTAGGAAGTTGTGGGAGGTTGTAGGAGGGGAGGTCCGATATTTGGGAAAGTCCGAATATTATTCCATTCCATTATTGTATAAGAACCGTTTTATATATTGTAAAGCCGTTATTATATTTCTTTCTTTCTTCTTTTTACTCCCTTTTTTCCTTTTTTAAAATTCTTCTTATCTTTATCCTTTTCCCCCCTTTTTCTTCATTCTATTTGGTCTTTTTTTCTTTTCTTTCTTTTCTCTCTCAATTCTCTTTCCTTTTTCTTCTTTCTTTTTTTCTTTTTTTTTCTCTTTCTTTTTTTCTATTTTTCTTCTTTTATTTATCATCTTTTCTCTATACTATTTTCATTTCTCCCTTCTTTCTTTTACCCTTTTTCTTCTTCTTTTCCTTCAAAAAAAATCCAATACTACCCCACTGAAAATACTATATTGCGCTAATGGCCGTTTTTTTAACGCACCAATCAGAGGGCCAGGATTACTTTTTAAAGGCCGGGCAGAAGAAGCTTAGCTTCGACCATTTCATTGAAGCTTCGCTTCAATAACTGTTTAATTCTGATTCGGGGAAAGGAAGGAACATGTCGTGAGTTTTGAAGGTAATGTTGGACGGTGGATTGGAAGGAAAGATTGAGGGGGAGATATCGTAGCCTATGTATTGGGTTTCTGGGGGTAGGAGATGGGAGGTTGAGAGATCGAGGAGGAAAATACCGGTTCCGCAGGCTATGTCTGCCATTTTGAAGGGATGGTTGGTTGGAAGATGGTGGAGGATTTTGGGATGGATTAGGAAACCGAGGATTTTGGTGGTTGTGTGGTGTTGTTCGTTGAGTCTGTGGGGTGATGTGAGTATCTAAGGAGGGTCGATAGACTGAATGGATTTGTACCTTTCATCGTCTTCTTGGACTTTAGGTCCCTAGACTTGGTTGGAGTCGATGGTTTGAGAGTCGGCCATGAGGATTGTATGGTGTTTTGGAATCTGAAGAGATTGAACTGCCGAAGTCCGGGGAAAGAGAGGGAAAGTCGAGTGGTGTTGTTACACACGGTATGCAGACTTATAAATAACTTGCGGGGTTAGGTACGACTGGAATGAATGTTTCACCAAAGTATTGTGACACAGGCGGTTGAATGACCACGATTCACCGGAAACGGAACTCTCGGGATTGAGTCTAAAACTTTCTTACGCACCTTAACTATGCCTGGCTTTTTTCACCCCTGAGTGTATGTTCGTGGCGTGAGGCTTTTCTTTTTCCTTTTTCTTCTTTCCTTCTAAAATGTTAAGAGCATAGTGAAGGAATGCATTAATTGCCATTCTGGTTGTAGAAAAAGTCAGCAGCACGTTCTATCTTCAGGTTGACGATTGTGTACTTGAGCTGGCAGTGACTACCGATTCACCATCTTTCCCAACTGCTCTCAAAACTGCTCATTCTCATCCTTAAGACTTGGAATCATTTTTTCTACTTCAACAATCTAAGAACTAACATTCTTTCCCCACAAACTAATAGTCCAAAACCCACCACAAGGCTCATACCCATCCGCCGCTCCACCACACATCATATCACACGTCCAATCCGGCGCCCTCTGTCTCTTGGTAGCATTGTCTATATTCTCATTTCCACACCAGCATTCCCCCTTATTCTCCGTTCCAAACATGTTGTATCCTTCCTGCGCACACGTCCTACCGCACACCTTATTAGTCATTTTGGTGTTATCCCTCAAGACCACCTCAGGCAACACCCTATTAGCCGAGTCAAAATAACAACCGAGATATGTCC